GAGCAGGCCGAGGCCCTGGTCCTCCCGGCCCTCCCCTAGCACTGCCACGGGGCATGCCCTGCCCACCACCAGCTGCCAGGACCAGGCCAAGGGACAGTTACAGTTTACTATCCAGCAGAGGAACAGTCAGGAACACTTTACAACTTTGCTATTTTCTTGGGCCATTTTCTGAGGACAGAGAAAACAGTGTTATAGATGTTGATTTAGTTACAGACGTTTACATTTATTCATTTGCTTACACTTTTATCTAAAGCAACTTATAAGCATAAGTGATTCATCCTGAGGAAATGAGGAGAGAAGTGCTAATGTGAGGTCAATAAATTACATAAGTTGTTCATAAGTCAAGTTGTCCTGTTCGCTATAAATAGGCTCTTGATTGTACTATATACAGCACATCCCCACACCGGCAAGCCTTGGAGAAAAAAAAAAAAGAGCACTTATGGTCCCCAAAGTAGGAATTGCATGCCACTGGAGATATCTGAACAGGTCTTCCACCTGGACTAGGACAGAAGAAGGGAGAGAGTTCAGATGTTCTGAGGATCGCATGGGAATGTCAGACTGTGTTTCAGCCTGTACCTGCCACAGGACCTGAGGCCTGTTTTAATTAATCATAAAGCACTATGAATTATTCATCTATTATCACTGCGCATACATGTGATCATTCATTTGTCTCTTCTGCTGTTTTTAGCACCCTTACGTCCCTGTTTCTGTTAATATGCCGCAATTCTGGGGAGAACTAAAGGTAGATTAACCTGACAGCACACTTTTAATACAGGACATGATACAAAACTACTTAGATGTTCTTATTTCACAAATTCTCCAGTGAGTGTGTACACTCTTAAAAATGCTGGGTTAAATACAACCCAGGGCTGGGTAAAATAGGGACAAGCCCAGCAATTGGGCTGTTTAGCCCAACCTTCTGGGTAGTAACCCAACTGCTGGGTCAAAACAACCCAATTGCTGGGTTTGTCCCTATTTTACCCAGCACTGGGTTGTATTTAACCCAGCATTTTTTAGAGTGTATACAAACTTAACAAACAGGTCAACTCATACTGTAGATGCGCTAAAGAGTGAACAGAGTTGTTGGAAGTATGGGATGCCAGGAGAGTTTGAATACATCTCTCAGAGACTCCAAATAAACTCAAATATCACATTTGAAAACATTTCCATTTACACAATACTTAGATTTGAAATGATAAGCAATCACACACAGTACTCCCAAAGCTTGCTTTCTCAAAATGTTTGCAATGCTCAATGACATATTTAAGCAAGGACTCTTCAAGCAGCGCCTAGGGTGTTTTTTTGCCACACTGATCAGACATCATTGGGCTCTCATTGAGGAGAGATTTAGCTTTGGTTTGGCTGTGTGGCCTGTGATGACTGACAGTAGGAAGCAAGGTTTCTCCTACCTACAGGCGCCCTACTGAAGCTTCAGCTCAGGAGGACACAACAGATCTGAGCGAGAGCAACACCTGTCAGGTAAGCCTTCGCAGTTGACGAAGGTATGCAAAGGTATGCAAAGCCCTCCGCTCTGACGGCTAATCTCCGGTGAGCCATCATGCGGGGCACCGCAGGCCTCCACAAGGAGCCACCGGGGGCCAGAGCGCAGCAAACTTGCCTCTTCTGCGTCAGACAGCGCTCACATCCTCCCACCAGAGCGGCTAGAGGCAGAGGGAAAGAGAGAGAGGGAGGCACTGATGTGCTCTAAATACATTTCATTATCATCATTATGATTATATCACTGAATGTGTTTTTTTTGTAATGCGCCGCAGCACATCTCCCCAGGGTGCTGTCTGCACAGCTGAATAATTAAAACAAGTATGATGAACCATCCGTCACAGTTTCCCATAAGAATTCGGGTAGGATATGTGCAAATGGCTCAGCTGAGGAGAGGTCTGCAACTGAAAAAATAAAAATGCTCAGGTTAGTATCTACTAATGCAGCTTTGATTGCAAATAATTCAGTACAAGCAGTTAAACAAAATGATGATGAAAGCAGACCATTGCAGTATACACTGAGTGATAATGCATTGGCCATCATTTTAAATTTAGAAAACCTAAATGAGGAGAGTTATTTTCATTATAAATTTTTATTGAAATAACATGAATAATTATCAGGTCCTCTATGTGCATACTAAAGCAATGAGGTTTCTTAAATTAACATACTGTTTGATATAAATATAATGCAAATCATACTTGTAAAGTGCACTCATATTTCAGCAACATACTAAGTGCATTTTGGAGAAAGCAAATCTCACACTATTTGCAATAACAAAACAGCACATCCAATCAGGCAGACACAATCAAGATGAGGCACATTGCGTTCTGTTATGCCAAGCAACCCTGTAGGACTAGACCTGCTTAAATGTGTGAAGTGAATCTAAGAGACAACTACGAATGAATGTTTAATCCAACAATCCCACAAACCGGTGTCGAAACCCCTGTGTCAAAACCTAGAAAATTATGCACAGCAGGTCACTGAAATATTCATACTATACATTCTTCATTAAGACTGAAATACACAAAGGCCCCGCATTCAAATAATTATTGAAACAAATGACAGATAGATGGAGGGAAGAGTAAAATATTAGTGCCACAATTGCATGTTTGTTTCATAGATTTGTACCGATTTGTTTTATTACAGAGGAAACCTCCGCATTGCTAAATACTTTTGACAACTCAGTTACTTAGTGTCTTGCGAGTGGAGTCTTTGCCAAAGACTGCATTCAGAAAGGAAACAGGACACACTGCTCCTTTTCAACCCTTTCTGGGTGGGAATACTAGACAGATCAAACAAAGCATGTGGTTGTTAATTACACATATCCTGCAACTTGGTCACACAGTTAGGGCTCCTGACCCTTCTCATATGCTCCCACCAATTAATGATCTTTCACCTGTCCCTCTGACATCAGATGAATAGTCTGAGATTTTAGCTGATGGATCATGTCAGCTTATCAAATGACAAATGCTTCACAATTTAGAATGCCATCTGTAATTTAAGCACTTAGCACAGCTGAGACTGTCTCTTGTACCAATTTTAAGAACACCCCAAAAAAAAAAGATACCCACAATATATCACCCCAAACTATTTAGTAGGGAACACAATTTTTAACAACGTATTCTTATTCTAATTCAGATATCATAAGTTCAATTACTTAAGACAATCTTGAATCAAATTATGAAGTAGAAGTTTACTTTCTTACCAACCCCCAAAAAATTATTTGTTCTGTAAATCCTCTTCCTTTTCTCTAAATCTTTACAGAGACCTCATGAGGGTGGTTTTTATGTATGATAACGATTGGCCCCTGTAGGTCATTTCTAATGGGCAGAGGTGGAAAGAGTACGAAAATATTCTACTAAAGTAAAAGTACCATTACATTAATGAAATTTTACTTAAGTACAAGTAAAAGTACCAGTCTAAAAATCTACTCAAGTGAAAGTAAAAAGTAGCTCATTTAAAATTTACTCAGAGTAAAAATTACTTAGTTACATTTTAACAGTGGGAGGGAGGCAAAAATGGGATAGGCCAAGGGTGTCAAACTCAGTTCCTGGAGGGCCACGGCCCTGCACAGTTAGATATACCCCTAATTAAACACATCTGATCCAGCTAATCTAATCATTTAGGCTTATTTGAATGAAAACTACATGGTATGTGTGTTGGAGCAGGGTTGGAACTAAACTCTGCAGGCCTGCAGCCCTCCAGGAACTGAGTTTGACACCCCTGGGATAGGCCTATAAATTTCAAACTAGTTGTTTTTAATTAAAGGAATCATTTATTTAGAATAATAAGACATTTGGGCTGTTACCAGGCAAATTAAATCAGTATCAACAAATCTTTGCAATGCAGAGGAAACACAGAAGCTTCATCTGTAGTGGCATTTAGATTACACACTGTTTAATGCAGGACATTAATGCATTTAACCTGCAGTTACAAATGCAGAAATAATGTTTTGATATATAAGTCATAAAATGTTGAATACTCATTTCAAATTATAATAAAAAAAAATCAAAAGATACTTTACGTCAAATTATAAATAAATAAAAAATTGCTAAACTGTCAAAGCTTAATTTTAACCACCAATGCAACGATGCAAGTATTTACCTTACCTCTACATGCTTGCGAAGGGTTGATGTCGAGATTTTATAAGCTGCTAGTTTGGTCTCCCTTGGCAAACACAGTTTACAGTGCATAATAGAGCTTAAATATGGCCAGGGGGTCACTTCATTTCCTTCGAGTTCAACTCATAGGTTCAACTTCAGCAGAATACGACGGGGTTTCATTTTCAGCTGGGTCTGCACCATAACTCCTGTCTTGTCCGTCTGCATCTTTCTTGTGGTTTTAGCGCCCGTTTGCTCTCCTGCCCATTATTTAGGCCTACTGCAGTAGTTTCCAGGGAGCAATATTTTTTTTTACTCAGTAATTAATGTGTTTTAAAATGTAGCAAAGTACAATACTTAAAACAATATACTTAAGTAAAAGTAAAATTACAGATTTTAAAAATTACTTTAAAAAGTAGAAGTACACAAAAAACCTACTCAATTACAGTAAAGCGAGTAAATGTAATTCGTTACTTTCCACCTCTGCTAATGAGTTAAAAAAAATTAAACTAATGGTATAGCTCACCCCGTTTTACAACACTCAGTTAATACTGCAACTTTCCTACACAGTGAACACAGATACCTACATATTCACACTCATTGGAGACACACACACACAAATTTCTTCTTCTTATTGTTGTTATTATTATATTATTATTATTAGGCAAACAACCAACCACTTATTGTTTTCAGGGTGACTGTCAACCTGGCAACCCAGTCCATGCCGCGCTCGTGAAATCCCTCCTCAACAGGTGTTCCGGCGAATTCAGTTCCCCTGTTTCCCCCTCACAGCGCCTGCGCAACTTTAGTACTAAAATCATGACGTCATGATTTCGCCCCGGCGAAGCAATTCAGCCGTTTTGCTGCGTTTTCGCAAGCACACCGTGACTTCCTGGAGACGGGTCTTATTTTTATACAGAAAAATGGCGGCTTTAGGCTCAAGTAGTACCTCGGAGAAAGCAGGGACTGCGCCTGAAGCCCAGTCGGGACCAGATAATGATTTTTGGGCGGGACAGGGTCCAGTGGTTCTGCGGGATCCAGCGATTAAATTGCTAAGTCTGGTTAGCGGTCTTGAGCCCCTGTCGTGGGCAGAGGATCACAGACTGGCGGCCTCCAGCACTAACAGCGTGTCTATCATGGAGCTGGTGTGTGACATACACAGTCTCAGTCAAAATCTGGTGCTGCATCGCAGTCACATCCCCGTGCCGGACATCGCTTGTGATCTCAAGGTAACTACTGTGCGCTCCTGCTCACTGCTTTATGGTACCAACTCGCGTGCACTGTTGCAACTAAAGCAGCTTAAGCCATGTTTTGATGTGACATGACGTTTATCTATCTCAAGATGTGCAAAATAAGTGTTAATCATCTGCGATGAATTATCCTATTTGATCCCTAATTTTCCCAGCTCAAACTGAATGTTAATATGCCAAAATGTTAATTATGTATTTTATTTATTTTAATAATTGTAGCTAACCTGTGGGAAACTAATTAAAAAGTACTCAGTTGCGCAGTTAGACGCAATAGAAATATTCAAATATTAAAATGAACATTAACAGTAACATTATTTTTTTTTTTTTAGTCAGTTGTGGGGAGAGATAATCCAAGAATATTTTTACATCTACTTTTTAATTCAGTATAACCATACTCCAAGGCGGATCTAGAAAATATGTTTTAAGGTGGCATGGGTCTATGAGGGGTGGCAACACCAAAGCAAGCCTCCATGCATAGTTTTTGGGGGTTTATGGTCTGACATACACAGTTGTGTTCACACATAATGTATTACCATTAAGTAATCATCTATACTGTTTAAAATGAAAAATAATTAACATTTCAATATTCATCATGGGACCAAGTCAATGCACAATATAAAAAAACTTCAACAGGTTATAAATGTTTCTTTCAAAACTTTGCCTCTTTTTTTTCAAAAACTTTACACACAAATCCAAGAATTGCACACACAAAATGCAAAATGCCTCGCATCTCTTGCAGAATGAAGCACTGCATTCAAAATATCACAAACACATCTCAAAAGCAAACATTTGCAAACACCTTTGCCGTAATATTAATTCCTGTTAGATTTGTGTGTGTTACATAGAGAACTGTGTGTTGTGTTTTACAAAAAGTGTTTTGTGAAATTGAAAACTGACTCAAAGGCTGAGAATCAGTGTATGGTTTAGTGTCAGCTTTCAGAAACTGTGTGACAAGAGAAGATTTTTTTTACTACTGTAAAGTAATCTTGCAGTAGATGAAAAGCACTAGAAAAGTTCAAATACCAAAGAATTGTACGAACTTGGCATGCACCACAATACAGTACAGCAAAAAATAAAATTAAAAAAAGTAAATTTAGCATCCTCTGAACATTTGGCCAAATTTACAGTATACAGTACTATAGCAGTTTCTTGGTCTCCTGACACAA